TCGATTGTAAATCCATGCGGAGGGTCGCCATCTTTGACTTTCATCAGGAAGTGCGTCAAGTCTTCTTCACTTTGAGCAAGCATGGTTTTGTCATCTAACGCGTGTTTCCCCAATTCTAATACCACGTCATTCTTCGTGCAGTCCAGTTTCTCGGAATATTGGCTCACCATCCAGATTGAATAGGTACGGCAAAGGGACAAACCTCGGACGCACACCTTCCTTGATTTTAAAACCACACCGCATCCCCTTATTCCGTTCCAACGACTGCCTCTTGCCCAGCTTGTACAGGAGGGCCCTTCAGGAACAAATATTCTCACCCCTGGCCCCAAAGGAGCGGAATGGAGAATGTTGACAGTATGGGCGTTGTCGGGCACTTCATTATCCTTGGATCCACTGTCGGCACCACGGAACCAGCGGCTAAGAAACCACATGAAACGTCGCATCGGGCAATTCTGCAGAAAAAGACCTCGTTAAAGCTTCTAAAGGTTTCACCAGGAGGACAAAGCTGCTCCTGCCCGAAGCCCAATAGTCTGTTTAATTGCGTCCCATGCAGGCAGACACTACAGCTGTGGTTAGGTGCCCAGAGCCGCCGGTTCCCACTCAGAGGGTCACAGTCGGCGCTGCCAAGCACTGGTTGTGTCACCTCGGACACGTCTGTCCAGGGAGCATCCGTTTCATTCTCTGAAGATGCTGTGAGGAGATGTCTGGGGAAGCCAGACAATTAAGCTGGAAAGCATCAGGGTGGTGCTTAGCCTGCGGTTTGGGTTGATGATCTTTTCGCCTTTTCCCACCTTCCTTCCCTGTCTTCTTTCAGACATGGGTGAGGCAGGTGAGTGAGTGGAATGAGCCCCTTCCTTCATTCCTGACATTACTAACTGTCGCTTTGTGTTTTCTGGCTACAACTCATCATTTCAGAAGCGTTTACTATTCCTTTTCTGTTTTATTGATCGATACTCTCTTAGTTGTTATGCTTGCTTTGAGTTGTCCTTTTTAAATCATTACTTAACAGGCAGGATTACAGCATTGATACAAAATGTGCTTCATTATTATTATTGTGGGAAACACACCTGGCAGAGCATTCGCTGTTTCAGTCATTTGCATGCGTACACCTCGGTGACATGCACCGTGGCCAGCGGGTTGTGCAGCCATCACAACACTCTGGCTGCGGCTTTTGTCTTGTTTTGTCAAACAAGCATTGAGCGCTAGAAATTTCCCTCTCCGCATTGTTGGAATAGCATCCCCCCCCCCCCAATTTTGATATATTGTGCTTTCATTTCCATTAAACTGAAAGTGATTGCCTTGTTTCCAGGATAATTTTCCTTTGACCCTTGGGTTACTTAGAAGAGCGTTGTTTCATTTTGCACTAGTTGGAGACTTTTCCAGGCAGGTTACCGCGGTTGGGTTCCAGTTCAAGTCAATGGTGGCCGGTGAACATTTATTTCCTCATTTCAGTCGTTAAAAATGTGTTGAGATTTGTTTTGTGGACTAGACTATAGTCTCTCTCAGTGGTTGTGTATTGAGAAATGTGTTTCCTGCTGTGGTTGTGTAGAGCGCTGGGTGGTAGTGACTGCTGAAGTTGGTTGATAGCTACGGTCTGTCTTCCGACTGGTTTCATGTCTACAGTTATGGAGAGAATATTTGAAGCATCTAATGCACATACTTGTGGACTCGTCTGTTTTTTTTGTGTTGGTTCATTTAGGTGTGCTGAGGCAGTGCTTACTAAGTGACTACGCATGTAGGATATTCTTGATACATTAACTGCCTTACTGTTACGTAATATCTCTCTTGCCGCCTGCTGGTACTGTGAAGCCTCTTCCCACCCTTCCTTCGATTAGTATTCACCAGAGAGATTTTCCACCCTTTCACTTTTATTCTTACATGTCTTCATATTTAAAGTGGGTTTCTTGTAAACAGCATATGGTGGATCTTGATTTCTTTTCCAATCTGTTAATCTCTTCCTTTTCATTGGAACATTTTGGCCATTTACATTTAACATAATTATTGGTACATCTTTGTTTAAAATCCATGGTCTTACTATTTAATTTTCACTCGCCTCATTTTTTCATTCTGTGGCTTACTTGTTCCCTGCCCTTTTTTGAATTGAGTATATTTTTATTCCGTTCGATCTGTATTATTGATTTATTCATTATACTCATTTAAAAATATTTGAATGGTTGCTCTAAGGTTTAAAAATATATATCTTTAACTTACCACATTCTGTTTTCAAAACTAGTATACCACTTCACCTACAGGATCCGAACCTAACAACAAGGGTGTCCATTTCCTCGCTCCTATCATTTGAATAGTTATGATCAGATATTTTCCCTGTACATCGATTACAAATCTACTTAAAAAATATGTTTGTTGAAATTTCCTATTTTTTAAAAGATAACTTAGTATATTAATCATAGTTATTTTGAAGTCCTCTTGGATAATTCGATATCTGGATAAACTTTGTTTTTTCATGGTTTAATTTCTCAACCTGTTTTGCATTATATAAATGTACATATGGATGTGTATATGTATATGTACATGTATAGGTATAGGCAGAGGTATATATTTAACTGAATGTCAGGTATTGTGTGTGAAAGGACAGAAGAAACTCTGAGGTCAGTCGTATCACTACCTGGACCTAGGCTAGCCTCTTCCATTGGCAAACCTTTCATCTGGGGGTGGACTCACTGCAGTCGCCTTCAGGATAGCACACAGTTCAGTTTCTTTCAGTGGGACGCTGCCATAACCTTGTGCTTCATTGGGACTTTTGAGCGCTGGAAATGTGTTCTCATTTTTCGTGTCTCACCTTCAACTTGCCTGTGCCCTAAACAAGGTCTTTTCCCATGATCCTGCTCTTCCATGTGGCTAGGGAGGAGGGGGGGCTGGAGAGGACTTTGGCTTTCCTGTCCCTCCCCAGTCTTAGCTGGTCATAGACTTCTGAACCACAGAGATGGGATGTTATCAGTATTTCTGCCTTCCCTCACCACCAGGAACCATCACCCAGTTGAACTCCGCTTCTTAGTTATGGGAATTATTGAGTAGGAGAGAACTTTCTGTTCTCCCCGTGGTTACCTTTTGGCCATTTTGAAGCATGTTGGGCCAAAATGAGTTTCTTGTCCATCACTAGAGGATCACAAAATTATAATAAACCAAATCAGTTTCTGTCTAAGTGATTCTGCCTCATGATAACCCCATGAGTGTCAGAGTAGAACTCTGCCTTATAGGATTTTCAATGGCTCATTTTTGGATGTAAATATTCAGAGTTTTCTTTCAAGGTGGCTTGGGTAAACTCAAACTTCAAACTCTGTGGCCAGCAGCCAAGCTCTCGTCCGTTTATGCTAACCAGGGACTCACCACCCAGGCAGGCAGTCTTCTGGTCAGCCCTCTCTCTGACTCCAGAGGCAATGTATCTTTACTTAGGTCCTAGGTTGAGGATCCCTCTGCCATCTGCTTAGGGCTTTTCATTAGAACCATGGGCCTTGGAAATGGGAGGTTGTCGTGCCCATGGGCTGCTAATGGGACTGACTTTAGTCTGTCTGTTATCATTCTTGTGAGCACCAGATAGAGGCAAAGGAAACTACCTTGTGCATGAGTGCCAAATCCTGTGTCTGGAGCTCCCAGTTAATGTGACCTGCACGCCAACCCACTCTTGGCCATTCACCAAAACCCCTGAAGCACTGCTATGGAGCAGATTTTGACTCCTAGCAACTCTATTGGACAGAATAGAACCGCTCCTTAGGATTTCCAGAGCTGTGACCCATTCCCGATGCAGACTGCCTCATCTTGTCCCTATGGAATGACTGGGAGGTTCGAACCATTGCGGCTGCTTCACCCGCTGTGCCACCGGGACTCTGTTTTGGCCCTTTGGAGCCTGGGGGGCAAAAAGCTATTTTCTTACCCTGCTTATCTACTTTTACGGTGACTGACCCTTGTTCCCAGGATCTCACCTGCTCATGTGGCTCGTCTTTTCTTGGAGTTTTCCATTTGTTTTGTCATTCAGTACATCGGATCATCTTACTCTCTGGGATCCTCTGAGGGACTTAAGAAAAGGTAGAATTTCAGAGAGGTCTCCCGTTGGGGTGGAAACTGTTCTCTTGCAGCTGTCCCTATCCCATGTGGAAGCGGAACCTCTAGTTGTGAATCAATAGATTCTCGTCCATGTTCTTCTGACTCTTTTGTACTACCGTCAAACGGTGGGCTGCACGCCCCCTGCCCCGTGTGCTTTATGTGAGGGACTCTGGAGACATGAAGTCGATGGTTCCTCTGTGGATTGCATGTTTCTCATCAGACAGCCATAGTCTGTATTCCTCCAAGGGGAAAAATCACATTTTAGAGACTTGGTATGATCATCTACTAAATCTATGAATTTGGAATTAAACAATATATGGGTTGGTGAATTCCCTTTTAAAAGGGATTATTCTGAGGGCACAAGTAATTCATTAACCAGGAAGAGAACTTGAAAATACAGAATATGAAAAAAAGGAAATAAAACCACTCATAGTAACATCACCCAAAGAAACCAAGCTAACACATCATCACATTGTTATCCCGGTCTTTCTAGAGGAATGTGTGCGTGTGTGTTTGTTTTTGTATACATGTATGCATGGCGAGTGCATGTTTATGTCCCCTCTTTAAACAAGCTCGTTAACAATGTGTTTGTTTCTGATGGATTGACTAGCACGACACTCATGAAGTGAGGATGTGTTCTCCATGTTTGTCTGATAAAGATGCCAACCTTGGGGGACTAGTTTTAGTTTACTCTCGGGGCTGGATTCCTGCACACAGCTATCTGTGTCACATGAACAGCCAAGACAGGTGTGTGTATGTGCTTCCAATGGAATGGACTTCATTGCAGAAACGGCCAGGTGTTGATTTCTTCCACTGAGATCCTTCCTCATGTAGGCAACCTCGGCCCTCGTGGTTGGCTTTAGAACAAATAGAGATGAGGAAAGTGCATGGCATCCTTCAAATCTGTCTTAGATCTGTTTTCTCTCTTTCTTTTCCAGAAAGTATTTTGGAGAAAAAATTGGACTGTATTTTGCCTGGCTTGGATTATATACCTATTTCCTCATCCCATCTTCTGTCATTGGAGTGATTGTGTTTCTCTATGGATGTGCTACTATCGAAGAAGATATTCCCAGGTATGTTGGTTTTAAAGAGAAAGGCTCAGTTTCCATACGTTAGTCGTCTGGAGCTTCATTTCTGTCGCAAGCACGTTTCACAGGTCTCCTTCCAAAATCCTCACCCTCTGTTTTTCTCCTCTGTTCAGCACTCACAGAGGTAAGCGTGGGAGCTCCAGATTCTGGGGTGGCTTGAGAGCCATGCTGGGCATGGTCCAGACTAGATTCTGATCAAGCTCTTGTCAAAGGTCAGGGTCTGTTGTAGGCAGGTTGGGAAAAAATGTCTGAGAAGTCCTTTTTGTCCTTCCTCAACCTCATGACTTTGTGCTCTGGTTTCCCCAAAGTCCCAAGACAGTCATTGGAGCAGGGCTGGGGAGAAATCACAGGTCCATTTGGTCAAACACCGTTAGATGACATGCTGTGAGACTGCCTATAGACACAGGTAGCTTTGGAATTGAGGAAGTCTCCGCTTGTGGTTTAGGAGGTCAGAAACGACAGGAGGCGACTGGCCCATGGTGGGGCCTTTGAAGAGCCAAGAGATAGAACAGACACTGGCCAGTAGAGGGCAGGGAGCCGATGAAGAAAATAAACAATTAATATAGCATCTTTTGCTAAGTGTCCGAATTGATTTAATGCCAGTGAGTATCTTATTTTGTTTTTTTAGAATTGATAGTGTCACCTATTAGCTGAGGAGCTAACTACATAGGTTCCTCCCTGTAAATAGCAATGATACTCCTACTTCATGGTGGTGGTGTGAAGATTCAAGGAGACAGTGTCTGAGCATAGCATGAGATTAAAAATTAATTGTTGAACAAATGTGTGTATCTATCAAGAGAACATAAGGGAAAAAAAGAGACACTTATCAATATTTAGAATTTAAATGACATGCCATCATCACCACTGTCCTGGTTAGCATATTTTAATACTCTGTGATTAGCTTAAGCAAAAAAGAATTTACTGTCAATGTGCTGGCTGCCCCAAGGTGTCCAATGGCAGGCACATGACTGGCCTAGGGCACATGGAAGCAGGGACTCCTCTTTATGCCCCAGGGCTGACTTTTCCCCCCCTAGTATTTATTGGCTTCAGTGCAGACTCTCCATTTGGACATAAACATTCCATTCTAAAGACAAAGTGCATGGCTTTATACTCAATTAGAGGGGAGTCATGGTTCAGTGGTACAAGTCTTGCTTTCCATGTGGGAGGCTTGAGCTCACTTCCAGCCAGTGTACCTCAAAGGGAACCACCGCCTGTCAGGAAGTGGAGGCTCGAGTGTTGCTGTGATACTGAGCAGGCTTCAGCAGAGCCTCCAGACTAAGCCAGACTAGTCTTAGTCCGCACCTGGATATTACCATGGCCTACACAGGCTGCAAAGATATATGTCTGCACCTGCGCATGCACACTGAACATTCACACGCACTCATCTAGGTGTAGGTCTATGTACGTGTGAACTATGCTCATTAACATTGTAGCTGTGTCATGTTGTGTGCTGGAGTGTGAAGAGAACCCTGTGGACATAGCGGTTATATGTTGGGCTGCTACTCAGAAGAGAGGCCTTTCAATAGCATCTATTGAAAGCCTTACGGAGCACAGTGGTTCTGTCTGCACCTGATCATGGTAAGATAGCACCAGATTCAGCAGCATTTCAGGCTGTTGGGCCTGGTGTCCCAGGAGTCAGCAGTAACACACTCTATGGCTCTCGGGTGAAAAAGTTCTATTGGCTCAGCTTGGTTTAAGTGGATGCCTTGCACCGATCAGTTGTGTGGAGGGACAGACTTTGGACACTCACTGTTGTTGGGAGAATGATAGCCATGTGAAAGAGCTGTGGTTTTGCTTTTTGGAGGACAAGGTGTCCTCTAGAGGACAGAAAGGAATCACTAAACTCTTTTGCCACTACGTCAATGTGTAGGAATGGCCTTACATATTAGATACACTGCAGGTGTCATTGTCTCAGGCTAACCTTCAGAATAAAGTTCAATACTCAGTACAAGGGGAAAAGGCTTTGATATATTTTTAAAACGTTTTCAACCGATATTTAAATATTATAAAAACATTTAAAATAAACTTGCCACATGATTTTAAAATGCTATTTAACATTAATTATTTAAGAGCACTTGAAAAATCGTAAGAACTTGATTAGCTCCATAATCCATGTAATAACATGAATAATTTTCATTAACATCAGGAAAATGTAAATTGGTTCTTTATGTCTTTGAACTTGTCTACATTTTAATTTCTGTAGATAATTTTATTCCTGGTGGCACAGTGGGTTACACACTGGGCTGCTAGCTGCTCGGCCACCAGTTCAGAACCATCAGCACTTCAGAGGGATAATGGGGCCTTCTGTTCTCATAATGATTTATAGTCTTGGACACTGTGTCAGTCCGGGAAGACTAGAGAAACAAATTCATAAACTCACATATGTGTATCAGAAAGAGGTTTATACAAAAGAGCAGTTGAATATTGATAAAACATCCCGGCCCAGTCCAGACCAGATCAAGTACATAAGTCTGATATTAGCCCATATGTCCGACACCAATCTATAAAGTCCTCTTCAGACTCACAAAACACATGCAATGACACTGAATGCAGGA